TCGTGGAACGACTCGGATTGCCGCAATCGAAGAGATCACGAGAATCGTTGACATCGTCCGTAACCTCTTCTGATATATCCTATCGGCATAAAGAGTCATTGAAACATTAAACTGACCTTTCCGGATCATTGGACATATATATCGGGACGGGTATGTACCCGTGAGACAATTACGCTGTAACGATCCGCGACCACGATCCATCAGAATTCCGTCACGGAACGTGAGCATAACCGTGATTCGATGAAATTTTCTGTCTGCCTTTTCATCCCTCCCTCTGCGCTCTCCCTCGCCGTCTGGCGGCAATTTAAACAGGAGTATCAAAAATAACCGCTTTGTGGGGCGATGAATTTCTTGGAAACAATGAACGCACCGTCTAGATATAAATTTGCGACTCGACTTTCAACTTTCGACTTTCGACTTTCTGCGTTGAACACGTGGGACGTTCGATAAGTGATGGGAATTTTGATGCTGTTCGTGTACAATGTAGTTTTGTATAGTAGAGGGAATCTTATGGAACAGTTAAACGACATAACATTAAATGTAATGGTAATCATTATGTAATATAAATTTAAAATATAATCAATGTAGTAGCATACATTTCACTATTGGAAAAAAACTTGTGGGATTAATCTCATACTACATTAGACATAGACGTGACAAGTCGTTTATTATTCGCCATAAATGCTCTCGATCTATCTTTTCGAGCGTTTTAAAAAATGTTAATATGGAAACGTTGTTAGTGTTAGACCACGAAATTCCAGTATGCTTACAAACATTTTGAACCTTCTCTGGATCAATTTTTCATATAAAAAGGAGTAGAGATATCTTTTATCAATTTCAAATACGAAGCTTTATTACGGAGATACAATAGTTTAATCCTGGCACGCGTCATTTCTATGCTAGTCAGCTGATTCCACGACTGCGCATGTACACGACATTCACATGCGTAAAAACTCTAACTGCTTGTATCTCAGTAACGAAACCCCAGATTACAAAATAGTAATGGACTTTTTAATTCATATTAATAGAAGGAATTCATCGTAACAAAAGGTTCCACATTTTTGTTGATACTCTATATAAACTTAATACGCTTAATTTAATTTCTGATTTAATCTATCGCATTCTCGTGTTTAATAATTCATAAATTTAACAACCCCTTCTTAATATGCAGAGCATTGCATTTGTAGAGTATTACTAGAATAAATATTGTACTAACTAAAAATTTAAATTAGGAAAAAGAAATATAATAAATTTCTTAATTAATATAATTTAGCGTCATCTTTAAATAAGAAGTGCTGTAATTTATGGTATGTTAAAAATTCCAAGAATATTAAGAAACATGTAACAAAAAGTTTAGATGAGTTGCAAAGCAATGGATCAAAGGAATACCTATTCAGTAGTAAGTGGAGCAAGCGTTAAAATCTAGGAGGATCATGTTTGGAAAAATGTTACTTTATCAATGAACAGTAGCAATTTTATGAGGAAGTTCTGATTACCCTATTACACGCCGCTCGTAAATTCAGGGTTCGCAACGAACCGAAGGAATTCGGTAAAAATCGCGAGACGTAGATCATCGTTCTAGCACGCCGTTATAAATGTCTCGAGGATACGGCGGCTCGTAATATATTGCTGATTGGACGACAGAAAAAGAGAATGACCGTACACCTATCCCCGACGAGAAAACGAGCCTGGAATCGATCTAAACGGACACCTTGTGTCTTCTATCACTCATTCGTTATTCCGCGCAGAGGTCGTGCAATTAACCGGCTAACTGGGTACGTATTGTTCGACGAGAACCAGAGATTCGATGGTCGTCTTATTCAACATTCTTGAGATGCTTCTGGAAGACTAAATACATCTGAGTATTGACGCAAGCAATAGTGATTTCGTCATTGAACAGTGAACTAGACTAAACTAACAAAGACCTACGCTGACGATTAGAAATGACGATATTCGCAAATATGTAGTTACTATTACTTCTAATTCTTCATTTCATTCGTCTTTAACGAACAGCCCAATTATATGCAATCCAGTTAAATTAAATGCAAATTAAATCCAATTCGAACCTGCTCAATTCTCAAAAATTAATAACCAACCTACTGCAAGTTTAATCAGGACGATCTTGTGAAATTCGGATCTAATTCCCCAGAATACCTCTGAAAAGCTATGTTTTCCAGTTATATGTACTTCATGTTGTTCATCTCCAGTCAATTTTTCATGTGAATAATGTTCGCAAATAGTCATTTTTTGTATTCGTGAATCAAGAACAATTTTGTATAATAAATACACCTGTACGCCATTAGAATTATCGATATGTTTCATCTTCCTCATCTTTGGATGATAATTTGATTTATAAATATGCTTGTAGGAAATCTTTTAAAAAGTCTACGGCAGGTAAGTATAGGATGGAGGAATGATTGAAACTGTTGATGTAAAGAAGTAACAAGTCAATGCTGAACAATCGCTACTTTAAATACATGTTGAACGGATTACCATTTATTACTCTCTTACAGAAATAGTTCAATCATCTTTTCATTTTGCTAAACCTTCCACTGACTTTTTGAACGTTTTCCTGGATACTTATTTCATTTATAGACCGTCATCCGAGAAAGATGAAGGTCAAATACATTATCAAACTATTACGTGTTGATTAAATGACGATTATTTCCGAATTTTTTAGAATACCAAAATTTCTCTTTTCCAATAAATACCAAAAATAGCATTTTTTTTTTGGTTGCCTGTAGGATCATCTCTTAACAAGTAAATCTTTCAGTTCCAATGAAATTTTCTCATGCATCATTTTCTGTACCTCTTTCGATAAAATTTTATTGTATCGTTTGATAGACTTAATTCCAGTACATTTTATTATACTCGTTGGAATGCGGTATTCTTTCTCTTTTGGAGTTAAAAACTACCTAACCATCGATTTACAATTTTCCAATCAATGCGCACGTTATTGAACAGGATAAATGAAAGGCAGTTGAAGAATTTAATGAGGCCATAAAACGATTATTAAAGGATAATTCTAAATGCATATGGGTATCATTTATTTATAGACTGATATAGCTAAATGGCAATTATAGGTGTTTGCTACATGAACTAAAATATAATAGCTAAGACATTAGTCTCACACTAGTGCTTGATGGCACGCGTGTAACGCGAGGGATGGAGCAGCCTAACAGCATGTACCAAAGTAACTTTCAAGATCCTCACGCTGAAATTCGTTTAAAAAAGAGACAAATTTTAGAATAATAAATTATTCCAACGTTCGTTCCCATGAGCAGTCCCTCATGAGCAACTCAAATTGGCTAAAAATATTATTTTGAGGGATCTTCACATATACCATTTAAGAAAGACGAATATTGTCGATTTTTTAAATATTTTTGATGCTCGATGGATCTTGAAATTAGAAATTTTAATCAAACGGCAAACCTGCATTTTACGATTCACACTCTTGGGAGTGAAGAATTTTATTTAAAACAATATGAATCTTTAATTCATAAATTACAATAACTGCTAGCTACAATTAACTTGTACAATCTATTAAGATTTACATAAACATATTATTAAGTAGTGCACGCCTTGGATTGTAATATCGTATTCTTATCTTGGAAGAATCTGGTCTAGAAACTTAAAATTAAGCAAAAGTAAGTCTATATGCTTGTTACATAACCATCTATAATAATATACTTCAGCCGAACGAAATTTGGTACAACACAGTAGTCGCTATCACTTAACAAAAGAAAAGGAAAGAATATCCCTTACAAATTCGATTACCCTTCTTTTCGTTTTTGTCTTGTGCTCACTTACCAGCGCTTTCCTTTGCTATACCTGTACGAGAAGCGATACAGCTACTCTATCATCTTCTGGAACATTGAATAAACATTACTATTGAAGTACTAAAAGGCTAAAATCTATTGGCAATGAATCTCGCGCAACTCGTATCGGGAGGCCCCTCCATCCACCACGTATCGAGAATAGGCAAGATCTCGATGGGCAACGGGTGAAAAGGAAAGAAAGAAAGGGAAAAAAGGAAGGATGGTCAGACCGCGTGGGGAAGACGAGAATAAAGCCGAGCGACGAGACGAAAAGCGTGGTAGCGCGGGATGAAGTCAATTACATTATGCATATGACTGGTGGAAGGTAATACAAGAAGCAATCGGCCAGCAATGGAGGCATACCACCGCTAAATTAACTACCTACCTAGTTGTGCGTAATCCAATAATGTGTTAGCTGTGCCACCACTGCCCCCTCCCCCTTCCATCTATCTTTCAACCTTTCCCCTTTTGCGCATTCCATGGCACCGCGTATTCGAGATACCCAGTGTGACGTGGGACGAGATTCCCGTGTCACAGTTTTTAATTTTATTTTTGTATTATAATTATTATTGAAAGTTAATGGGTTAATTACTAATATATATATGATATTTTACTTGCCTATCGACAAGGTCAGGTCTTTGTCGCAACAGTCCCGCACGGGCCCTGACTCGTATGTGAATCTTTCGTGATATTAGGATAGCCAATTAGGATTCAAGAGGTACATTAAATTTTGTAAACGTTTTTACTATTGAAATAACACTGCTGAATTTAATTTATTATGATTTAGATTGTAACAAATATGTCGAGGTACAAGATTCTTATTTCTGCGTTAAGTTCTGCTCTTTCTTTCATTCCTTTGTGGTTGTAAATATATATATGTTACATATTGTCGGGATACATACTATTCATCGGGGATAATTAATTAGGGTTCCCCCGGAAAAGATTGCGCTTGGAAAGAAACAACTCACCACTAAGTTTTCGGTACGGATTTATCGGTGTATTGAAACGCATGGATGTTGGTCGTCGGATGTCTTGGACGGGGGAAAAGCACACACACACACGCGCGTGAAAAATTATGAATTATGAAATCAAGATAAATAAAAAAATTTCATTGTCAGCACGTAACAGCAGCAAGGCTGGCCGATGGTCTTCTATGTTCGTCAGTCCGTCCGAACTCCGGTTTACGCAGATTAATTTTATAATGATCTCCACTTGTGGCACTTTTCACTTGTATTAGAACCTCGCTTATTGCCGGAAGTCCTGAAAATTTCTGCGATAGTCAAGTCAACCAATCCAATGGATAGTAGCTCTACGTAGTGTATCATCGTTTCCAGCCATACTTGTTGCTTAGCTCCCTCCACTTGTCAACACTGTAAGATGAATGGGACTCCTATGCAATAATCATGATTCTACTGTGGTTTGGAAATACCCTATGTTGTTACCACATGTGATTTGCTTTTGCAACATGTTGGCAACGAGAAGCTCTTGTATCTTTGACTTTCAGCTCTGAAATATGTAATAAAGTTTCCCAAAATAAGTGAAAAATATTCATCACCTGAAACTAATGAGAAATGTTCATATAAGCACACATCCTGCTTTCGAATCTGTCTACAAGATATGGCGAACTTTGCGTTTTAATCATTCTTCCAAGAGGTGCAATTGATAGATATACTACTCTTTCCACTTATCTGATTACACAACAATGATAAAAATATTATGAACGACTGTGATCTGCATTGAAGCCGGATGGCTAGCCAATTGTTAAATATTAGGTTGTCCCAAAAGTTTCTTTCCTTTTATTAATAATTAATACATACACAATATTTTATGTTTTATGTTACATTACAAAATTGTGTACAATTTATTTCGTTCCATTACTGTTACAGCATCAATGTCTAAGAAATTAGATTGTCTATTTATATAAACACTGCCACACAAAATAATTGAATCCAACTAACAAAAGAAACTTTTAGGACAACCTAATATAACGTTCCCAAAGGAATGGATTGGACATTTAAATCCTATCAGCCTCTTCATTCTCTGAACTATATTTCTATAAGGTACTCAAGCACAACGTTACAGAATTTAGCAAAACTGTGAATAAATATGAGTGCGACCAAAGTGTTAAAATAATAGCCAGTTCAATAATAATACCTTTACAGATGTTAAAATTCTGTTTAATTTCTAAGCATCTGCAAATATTCTTAATCGAATACAAACAGATGAAACCTAATAATAGATAGGTATATTTCATAAGCAAAGTTAGAAAATAAAACTTCTACAACCTTGAAATGTTTCTCATGTATTACGCGACACCATGTACATACAGTGGGTATACAATGTATTCGTACATCCATCAATTTCCCAAAAAACTTTTGTGTGAAATTGTAGTTTATTAACTGTTTTTTTTTATAATCAATGATATTCTACATATTCTCGGAAATCTCTAGAATATAGTTCAAACAACAATTACTAGTTTATATAATTTGCGAAATTAACAAGAAAATACGAAAAATTGGTAGAAATATAGAAGCAATAAGTATTCGCACGATTCTTATGACGAACAATTTACAGTAGAATTTGTAACATAAGCTCATCAATTTATTGCTTCTTGGAAATTGAAAAACATTAAATTTCCAATAAAAAGGACTTAAAAAATACTGCAATAAAGGAATGAAAGAAGATATCACTCCGAATAACATCGACATTTATGATAGTTAATTTAATGCTTAGAAGAATTGCAGTAATTATAAAATCAAAAGGAAATCCCACGAAGTATTAATTATTTATAAATTAATGTAAATTTCGTATTTTTTTTTAATGAAGTTTTAAATATTTAACACTTGTACGAATTCTTATTGCTTCTGTATTTCTATCGATTTATTGTTTTTTCTTGTTAATTTCTCACTTGTACAAAATACCTAATCTTTTTGTACTGTATCTATTCTAGACATTTCCCAGAATATATAAAATATCATTGTTTATAAAAAAAAAAATAACAAATTACAATTTACATAGTTTTTTTGGAAATTGATCGGTGTAGGAATACTTTCTACACCCACTGTACACTTCTGACAAAAAAAAAGATATTAATACATCAACTTACTAAATTTATGAAAGAGAATTCCCTCTGTCTATTGTAACTCCAAGGTTCGTCTGTATGAGCGTCTCGCGTGATTGCTAGGCGCCTGGTCGGGTAAAAAATTATGAGAATGTAAATCACGCGTGTGTACCGCGCGAGCAGGAAGAGGAAACATTCCCTTTCGATTGGAACGCAAGACGGATACTTACTCGAAGACGCCGCGCCGGAGGACGCCACAAGAGACGTCTTCGCGTTCCTTTCACTTGACCGTGTCTTTAATGCTGAAGAACGCTTTGTGGATGACTTTAAATTTCCGAGGAAAGTCGCGTTCATGATTTCGCGGAACGGAATAACATTGAATCATGCTCCAATGAACAGAATGACGAAAGAGGATGTGTTTCTCTTTATAAATATTTCGATGCTATGCTTCCGATAATGTGGGTGACAAATACTCCTCTTAGAATTGTTTCGGAATGATGCAGAGCTGGAAAAAACGAGTTACTGCGGGAACGTGACTACTCACGTATCCTTTTCCGGAACGGATGTCGATATTGAAATACTTGGCCATTTACTAAGATGATTCGACGATATATTCGACTAATAGAATTGTGTTATAAATAGTACGTATTTTTATTTCATTTAAAATAAAGCATAGAGATACATACCTTCTTAATATAATAGTTTAATGCGAACTTTGTACTCGTTTGATACACATTCTTGCGTATGCCTCTCTATTTTGAACCTATTTGTAAGCGAGTGATTGGCACGCACCAATAGCTAATCATTCAAAACTACCTAGTCGAGTGTCATACTTTTAGTTGTAGGAAGGAAGAAATCTCTTAGCAGTTGTACACCTATCGTACTATCCACCTAGCACACAGAAACTTCTTTCTTAAACCAGTTAAAAATGAGTATCATCTGCCATTGCTCATAATCGTTCGATAAAGGAATGATTCTGTTCATTCATCAACACTACAGACTATTATTTTGTACCAATTACTAGATGTCCGTTATCTATATACTACAATACCCCCAAAATAAAATTTCAAATCTATTGGGTTGAGCAGAAAATACAAATAATAGCCGATCAACGTCTGAAACTTCATGTTTCGAGATTAATTTATTGTTAAAAAAACAAAATTACAATGGCAGTTTGAACATGGATTTGTCCCGTATACGAAGAGGATTCGGTAAACAAATGAACTATTGAAAGTGGTTTGGCAGGATTCCTAACAAAGATTTTCATGTTAACAATGCACCATGTTCAGGACGTCCATGCAAGGTTGCTGACGACGATATTAAAACATTCATTAATAATAGCTCACGTTATAAGACACAAGTGATTGCAGAATAACCGTCGTGGAACGTTTACACAAACTTAGGTATTCTAAACGTCCCATGTTTAGGCATATCGCTTTCGTTATCGGTGAAAAATTGTACGGATCAAAACAAAAACAGAAAACAATAAATGATACATTTTAGATAGGATGTTCCGCCCTATCCTCCGTATTTGCTGAACACTGTGCCCTTTAATTATCATTTATTCGTGTTCTTACAAAACTGCTTAGCAAAAACTTCACAATACAAGAAGATTGCGAAAATCAATCGAAACATTTTTTTACTAAACAATTTAAGAAGTTGTACAAGGATGAAATAGTGGAACTACGTGAAAGATGGTCAAAGATCGTACAAAACAATGGACTGTCACGTCCAAACTCGCATTAGTGAAACTAAATTGAGCAGCACGGCAAACATGTCCGATTTTGCACATTTAGGGCATGTGTGAGGTCCTTCGTATCAATTATTCTCGGCCGTTCTCCCCTTTTATGTTGCTTTATTTTACTTACCTTATGATTTGGCTGTTTCGGGAAATTACCCTCGTGGATCTTTGGCCACGATGACTACTGGATGGCTGCGTGGAGATTTGAAATCGCTTTCAAACCGAATCAATTTCCAACGAGGTCGGATGATTTCCTCGATGAACAACACGTCGTCGTCGTCAGAGTGGTGAATAGGCGTCTTTTGGAACAGGGCGGCGACGAGTTGTTCATATGCTTCCGCCAACGGGATGACTTCCGGAGGCTTCACGATTTCAATGTTTAGGTGTTTTGCCGGTTCAACGGAAACCACACGCGGAGACACGGATTCGACACCTAGTCGGTTTGATAATAGCCCGGTGTGTTTAACTGCTCGAATACGCGGCGTCCCTTTCGATATGTAAATTTGGTCATTTCTCCAATAAGGAAAGTATACTTACACGGAATTAATAAAATTACACTCTCGACAAACCCTCAATTCGGCGCGGCAACTTGGCTGCCTTAAACGTGATTGATTGTTTGTTGAGATTCGTCCTTCAATTATTTATTCCAGAAAATCGGTTCCCTCGGCAGGTGTAAGCCTTAAGGTCCCCGATTTCATCAATAAAAGAATTACGTGAATCTTTCTACCCGTGAAATCTAATAAAGGTTGTTTCAGAAATGTACGAGAAACCTCCGCAGGTGTAAGCCTTAAGGATTCAGCAAGTTCTTTTGCAAATCCTTAAATAGTTCATTTTGCTTCGTTCAATGAAAGTAAAATGATTTAAACGCGATCAATAACCGAATTTACGCAGGAAGGACAGGATATCGATTTGACACCTGTTAAATTTTAATTTGATTTATTGGGCTGTCCTTACGCGACAATAAGGTGGTACAAGTTTGAGTTTTGAACTCTCTGTTCGCAGAGAAGTCCTTTACAATAAAATTCGCTGGTTGTCGAGCATTAATTAATTCGTTCATGTGCTTGGAAAAACAAAAAAAAGGTCACTGTTGGGCGTGGAGGCCCCTTTTATATCAACGTCCTTAAAGATAAGGGTTGATCTGGAGAGGGCAGTATCTGAGTCATCTCGTTATTCTCAGCGAGGTGACTTAATTTGTTTTGTCTTCGACGAGAGGTGGTAGCCACAATACTGATACCACCTTTACGTATGTATAACTCTTTGTTCGCAGAGTAATTTATCAGCAGTCTTTCACACTTGTGAAACGCTTGTTTCACTCTTTTCGTTTCACGCTTCACGTTTCACGCTTATTCTTTCACGCGTGTTCCCCAAAAGCGCGAAGAATCATGCTCGTACTGTCCCGCGCTTTTAGGGACTTACAAATTATTATATATATATATATATATATATATATATATATATATATATATATATGAGGGGTTGATCCACGAATGGTAAGCGAAATTTGGGTGAAGAGATAGGCGTGTGACGTCACAGACAATAATTGAATGAATGAAATTACATTGAAAAAGAATAATCGTGTTTCAATTTGACCGAAAATAGCGGCACAAACTTTCTACTCGGTCCAATATTTTAGATCGCGAAAAAAATATGAAAAAAAATCTTCGTGTCCACTTAATCATGGCCACGACTGGTATATACCTACTGTGAATCATAGAAGACGATTTTCCATTTCCGGTTATTGCAAAATGGACAAAACAGCTCGCGCAAGTGGAATCATGGGTCATTGACAGGTGCATTACGCAGTTTCGCGAGCGTGGATGTACTCAAACCTGGTTTTATGGTGTAATACGAGCAACGGTGGCACAGAGCCATCTCGAATAAGGCTTTAGTGCCTTCGTAATACACCGAATAAAGCATTCAGTTTATCGACGCTCTTTACACGGCGCGATGACCGAGAGTAACAGTTTGAAATCATTGTATTGGTCAGAGATGAACAAAATTTCAATAAATAACTTGTGATCAACAATATGAAATCTATAGAATAATAGAATACAAATCTGCAGCTCATTCACGTTCAGTATCGATTGAAGACAAATTTTACGCAGAAAATTTTCTATCTATATTAATTCATAAAATTACTAAAGGTAGTCAGGTAATACAGATTTTTTGGGGCTTACTTAACAACAAAAGATACCCAAGTAACACACATGATTGAATAGGTAATCAGTATTATACGTAGTGTGTCGTAATTTAAGATATTATAGAAACATACATTTTATTTAACATAGGCATTGCTTGCTTAAAACAGAAAAATCTTTTTGATCAAAATTACTATGGTTCCAACAAATTCTCAACGTGTGAGAAACAAGAATTCCACGAATATATGTATATTGTTTGCTTTCAAATCGCGCGAACGATTTCTCTCACTCTTGCAAAAACGAGGCGTCGCGTTTTCACGTTCTACCGCAATTGGGAATCATAAAATGCGAACACGGAAGCATGGTTCGAGGAAGTTTGAACGGCACGATCTTCTCGAAAATTGACTGAACACTTGGTGGTTAGGCCTGCTCCGGTTTTACGATCGTCGCAAAAGGAAAAGTTTTCCCTGGGAAAGGCTCGCACTGATAGCCTCGACCGCGATAAAAATAGCCCTTGACATATGGGTTCGATCGTGAAGAAGGTTAAAAGGAATTCGTCTTCGAATAGTCGAGAGGTTAGGTCTTCCTAAAATGTGGAGTTGGACTGAATTAGGTCATCAGCTGATCTCGGCAGGTGTCTAAAAACAATATCGCGATAAATACTTTTCGGTTCAAACGCAAAAGCTTCCGGAAAAACGACGGTTAAAACTTTATTTGTATGCATATAAAATAACTTCATATTTTAAATATCATGCTTGAGCGTGTGGATAAGTTAATCGATAGGAATAATCGTTCAGCAAAGGAATAAAACATACATATAAGTTTTGACGTGTAGCGATAATAACTAGATGATCGGAGGTATCTACTTCGCAGCCATACTTTGAAGTATACACAGAAATCACTTACCATTCATGTACTCACTGTATTATTCAACGATCAAATACACAACTCTTTCTTTAGCCCATACGAAAATGTCTGCCACCTAGCATTGCTACTATTCATTAAACAAAGGAATGATTCTATCGATCAATCAACGGTACAAACTATCGACTCACGCCACTCGCTCGAAGATCCAGATCGCTGTCGTTACAGTCATATTCTTACTATAAGAAACAGTAATCTATCTATCATACGATTCAGCCACCGAACAAATTCCACTTTCTTAAATCTATTTGAAAGTTGCTGCCGCCTATCATGCCTATCAACGACAGAATCGTAAGCGTTTATTACCTCGAAAGTGACACAAGACTGAAGACATAAACGAGGCTGGTCCACGTCGAGTTAAAATTTGATGGTACCACTCTTGCAGCAAGATCGCTGTCGGAATGGTGGTTCGGGGTTTTGCCAAGCCACCTCATTACAAATCCGTGGCGATGTTCGACGTCGCATAATGCGAGTCAGCCGCGGCGATATTCCGACTTTATATACGCCGGGATACGTAGGTGTGTGGCAGAGTACACGAAACCAGGC